AAATAAATGTGTTGACAATCTGTTTTGGTTTATCAAAATTCTATTTTGGATTTGGTGTTAAACAATATGCAGCGAGATCCCAGGGCAACTAGACATTACTTACTTTCTGAGTAACATTTGTTGAATGAGTTAACACCACGTCACCATTGTTTGTTTACTATGTCCTTTGGTTATACGCATACTGAATTACGGAATCGCGAATTGTGAAGCTAACTTCACATAGATGTGTGGTCAAGGGTGGTGCTTAGAACATCTCAAATATACAGTGCGTCCCAGCTAGAACATATCATAGTGAAACGGCAAGGTATTTTTTTGCGAAGGATCCACGAGGAATTTGAAATTGGTGTTTAACGTACTACTCCAATCTCTTTCTAGCATCAGACGAGCGCAATAACGTACGTTAAACGCTAACTTCAAATATGGTATTAAAATTAACAGTGTTGTGACTAATCTAATTTTAAGGATAACTGTAACTAAATACGTTAAATTCTTTTTTTAGGAGAATTTTTTTTAAATTTCCCTTATATGATGTCCTTATACGTATTCGTCTAACTTGAGAACGAAAAGAGACATGGAAGTCAAAACCTTCACCAATCGATTTCTTCGAGTTCAAGGATCTGTGCTAATGAACATGAGCCGGACCAAAATCCGAATTCGAGCCGAGTGGCAAAAAATTTCCCTATTGAAAATCGTATGCGATTCTTCGTATCTTGTGTTGTTTTGTGCAGATTGTTTGTCAAATATAAAAAGTTATCTTTGATATATCGGGCGATCAAAAATGAGTGACTGTCAAGTCGTTTTTAGAAGTTTTCCATTTAAACCAACATTTTAAAGGTGACTCGAAAGTCACTCATTTTTTTATCGCTATCTATTTTTGTCAGACACTGCTGTGTGCTTTTGTTTTTTTAACACCAGGTGAGGTATTTGCGTACGTCAATTAATCTATGAGCATATCTAACGTAAATGCAGATTATAACTACACTTACTTATATACTGTTACTGTTAATTATGTATTGATCACTTATTTGATGTGTAGCCTTTGCTAGTGTCGCCAATTGTGTTTTATTATCGCTATAGCTTTGTCCGATATTTGTGTAGGTACAGCACTTTTCAGTAACTCTCGAACCTCTGGCATTGGTTTAATTATTTCATTGCCTCTTGTTATATTTGTTTATTGTACTGTGACAGCCGTCTCACCACAAAGATTTAAAAATATACCTTTGAAATCGAATGTTAACACTCCGTTATAGAATATAGTTTTACTTATTCAATAATAAAACAAATAAGTAGTTAAGAAATTTAGTGTAGTAGTGCAGTAACAAAAATAATTAATAAGACGCTACATTCTTCATGTAGTTAAGTAAATTGACAATACAGGAAGTGTTGCTTGTGGAAAATCCCCTGGTCGCCCAACAGTTGCTAACGAGAAGGTAGTAGATGTGCGTGGTCGTCTTGAACAAAGCCCGCAAAAGCCACTGCCACAGCTATCCCAACTGCTGTCATACGAAACCTGTCAGCAAATAACGAGGAAGAAGTTTCTTTTCTATCCGTACAAAGTAACCCTAACCGTGCTGCAAGAACTTCATCGCCTATTTATCCCAAAACGTGCCGCACAAAGTCTAATCTATTATTTAACTCATAATAATCATAATGAGCACATTAAATAATCCTTAAACTTTATGTTTTAAAAGATGTTGTTTGAAGAGGTGTTTATAATTTGTTCCATACTTGCAAGTAGCACATTTAAAATCTTTAGAAACTTTATGTGTTAAAAGATGTTGTTTGAAGTGGTATTTATTATTAGTCCCATAATCACAAGTAGCACATTTAAAATCCTTAGAAACTTTATGTGTTAAAATATGTCGTCTTAAATACTTTTTTACATTTGTCTCATAATCACATTCACCACATTTAAAATCCCTAGCGGTTCTATGCCTGAGAAGATGTCGTTTGAAGTACTTTTTAATATTTGTCCCGTAACCACAATCAGCACATTTAAAATCTTTAACAATTTTATGTTTTAAAAGATGTTCTTTGAGGTTCTTTATAGCATGTGTCTCATAATGACAATCGGCACACTTAAAATCATTAGTACCTTTATGTTTTAAAAGATGTTGTTTAAAGTTGACTTTATAATTTGTCTCATAATCGCAATTAGCACATTTAAAATCCTTTGAAACTTTATGTTTTAAAAGGTGTTTTTTTAAATCACATTTATAGTTTGTCTGATAATCACAATCAGCACATTTCAAATCTTTAGATAATTTATGTTTTAAAATATGTTGTTGGAAGTGTCGTTTAATATTTGTGCCATAATCACACGTAGCACATTTAAAATCCTTAGAAACTTTATGTTGTAAAATATGTTGTATCAAGTTGCCTTTATAATTTGTCTCATAATCGCAATTAGCACATTTAAAATCTTTTGAAACTTTATGTATTTGATTTTGTTTTAAGTTGCGTTCATCATTTGTCCCATAATCACAATCGGAATTAAAATCCTTAGAAACTGTATGTTTTACAAAGTGTCTTTTAAGGTCGGATTTATAATTTGTCCCATATTCACATTCAGTACATTTAAAAGTCTTAAAAACATTATGTGTTAAAAGATGTTGTTTGAAGTACTTTTGAACATTTGTCTCATAATCACAATTAGCACATTTAAAATCCTTAGAAACTTTATGTATTTGATTTTGTGTTAAGTTGCGTTTATTATTTGTCCCATAAACATAATCGGAATTAAAATCCTTAAAAACTGTATGTTTTACAAAGTGTCTTTTAAGGTCGGATTTATAATTTGTCCCATAATCACAATCAGTACATTTAAAAGCCTTTGAAACTTTATGTTTTAAAAGATGTTGTTTGAAGTACCTTTGAACATTTGTCTCATAATCACAATCAGCACATTTAAACTCGCTTGAAGCTTTATGTTTTAAAAGATGTAGTTTGAAGTACTTTTTAACATTTGTCCCATAATCACAATCGGGACATTTAAAATCCTTACAAACTTTATGTTTTAAAAGATGTTGTTTGAAGTACCTTTGAACATTTGTCTCATAATCACAATCAACACATTTAAACTCGCTTGAAGCTTTATGTTTTAAAAGATGTAGTTTGAAGTACTTTTTAACATTTGTCCCATAATCACAATCGGGACATTTAAAATCCTTACAAACTTTATGTTTTAAAAGATGTTGTTTGTAGACGTATTTAATGTTTGTGCCATAATCACAAACACCACATTTAAAATCTTTAGAAACTTTATGTATTATAAGATGTCGTTTGAAGTACTTTTTAACATTTGTCTCATAATCACAATGAACACATTTAAAATCTTTGAATACTGTTTTACACTCACTTTTGCACTTGGCTAAAAAGTCACGTTGAAAGTCAGAGTGTTGCTGTACTTCTTCATTATTAAGAGATGTAGAACACGACGTACTAATGGGAAATTCGTCCTTTATTTTCACCAAAACATCGTTGCTTACTGAAATGTGTCCCTGAAGAAATGATTCGATTTCTTCTTCTTGTTTTGGTTCGATTTTAATGAGTAGTGTGCAATTATCTCCATCCATACCTAACAACAATCATGAAATAAACATAACCTGTTTCGGTTTATCAAACATACGTTATGTTATTAAAAAATACAGCGCGAGAACCCAGGGCAACTAGAAACTACTTACTTAACTGAGTTAAGAGAATTTGCTGAATAAGAAATACACCACGTACCACGCTAGAGTCAGAGATATATAGCGAAATCCATTGGACGGAAAAAATCTGCGCTAGGTCGACACTCGAATTGCGCGAGTTGTATCAGCTGATCTCAATAGTGCGTTGTCAATGGAGTACAGTTGGTTGGCACGTTGCATGTTGAATTCATGGTTATGTTTATTAAAAAAGTTAAAAATGGATGTATTGCAAGTCAAATTTCAAATTAATGACGAAATTATAACGTTGAATATACCAGATAACGACTCTGATATATTATTCAAAATTACAAGTTAAATCAATGTGAACGTAAAATAAATCGGTAATTGATTTCAGATGATGATGATTTTACAGTAAATTATCTTATACAACTAATAAGTAATGGATTTATTTCCTTAAAGGAAGCATTAAGTACTATTTACAGGGTTAATGAAGATGATTCGTAAGTGCCTGTAATTGTGTTAGTGTAATTTTTTTAATGTATAATTATAAATTTTAGCACAATTCAAATATATGGTGAGAATCCACCCACCGAAGAAAATAGTGAACCCATTGAGGAAGAAAACGATGTTCAGGGGAAACGTATTAGTGGTGAGTATTAAGAAGAGAAATATGATTTTTCTTTAAATTGTTTTTCTATTTTATGCAATAGAATGGAGCGATGACGAAACAAGAATGTTACTTGATCTGTACGAGCAATGGATGGGACAAGTAGGACCTTTAAAAAAATTTAAAACAAAAAAGGTGATGTGGGTAAACATTGCGGAACGCATTAATAAATATTTTCACACTGGCAAGACCGGACTGCAGTGTGAAAATAGATATAAAACTGTATTAAAGCGTAAAAAAGCTGCTGTTGAAAATAACATGACCTCTGGAAGCTCTAGAGCGCTTGTACCATTTGAAAATGAGTTAAATAAAATTTCGGCTTCTGATGATTCCATTCAACCTGAAGTTACTGGATCATCACGAGGTGTCACAATTATAAAAAGAAAAAGAGAGACATCACTTTCTGAAGAACCAGTTGCAGAATGTAGCTCTGACGATATGCCCAGTACAAGCCACACTCCTCAACAGAAGACAAAAAATAAAACAATACAAGAAACATTACTACAAATATTTGAAGTGAAAGAAAAAGCACGTGAACGGCGCCACAGGGAGAAGTTACAATTAATAAAACAAATTTTAGGAAAAGAAAACCTCGAAGAAAATGTATCTAAGTAGTATTGTTATAAGATATAATATTTACATATTCTTACATTATTATAACTTTTAGGTATCTAACCTAATACCTATATTAAACTCATTTTTATATTATTGCGCTTGTCTTCGCCTTTTTTTCGCTGCTGCCATTCAGTTTCTCCTCTAGCACCTTCTTGAAAACGTTCTTCGTATTCAATGTCATCAATTATTACGTAATCAACATTGATACAAAAATTGTGGAGGATGCAGCAGCTTATTATAAACTTTGTTGCAGTTACAACAGATTTCATATCCAATCTGGTTAATTGGCGAAATCTGCTTTTTAAAATGCCAAAAGTGTTTTCAATTAAGACACGAGTAGCACAGAACTTCTTATTATAGTTAACTTGGTCAGGTGTTAGCTTTCCATAATCTTTATATGGAGTTAAAAGCCATGGTCTTATGAAGTATGCTCCATCTCCTAAAATGTGATATTTGGTACCACACAGGTTTGGTAACAGAGCTAATATTTCCGACATTTTGAAAACACGAGAATCATGCACTTTACCCGGTATGCCTGTAAAGACATCTATAAATCTACGCTTGTAGTCACATATGCCTTGTAGTGTTAGGGATGGTATGTCATGTCTGTTAACATAAGTTGATTTTATCTTGTGAGCAGGCGTTCTAATCGTGATTGACGTTCCATCAATACATCCCACGACACCTGGAAATCCAGCTACCTAGAAAAATAGTTATAATACAAAAATTTCACAAATACGAAATGTATGCACCTTTCTGAATTCTTTTTCTATTTGTTCCAATTCTAGAGCAGACTTTGGCATTTTTATAATGTCTGGGCCCAATTCTAACAGAAATCCCATAAACCGGTCCATCACTCTGTGAAACGATGATTCAGTTATATTGAACCTTTGTCCAACATCTTTAGTTGTGCATTTATTGCCAGCGAACCTATATAAATACACATTAATAAAGTCTGAAGTTACTTATAAAATTATACCATAAAAATGCATATGTATGCACTTCTGCAGGTATAGGTACCCGACCACCATGTCCATCATTTTTCGGGAAATATTTCGAGTTTTGAAATTTGTTAATTAATAACTGCACTGTTGTTCTTTGTAATCGAAAGTATTTCTGAAACTAAAAATCAATTTAATGTCAATTCCTTTTAGGCTTAACAGTACCTACCTGATCGTCGCTTAATTTATTAAGTACTTCATCCACAAAGTTTTTAATTTTTGGTAACTTCACTCTCTCCTTTAACAAGGCAACAAACTCCTCATCCTCACTACTACTGCTGCTGCTAGATAAAATGGCTAAACATAAAACCGCCTTTGCCTCTTTGCTTGTGGCCATTTTCAAATAAACCCTCGAAATAAACACAACAAAAAACAGCTGATCAATTCCAGTGCCGCACCTGCTCAAGACCTCGTGCGGAACTTTTTGCACTAAATGCAACAAATGCGACACCAGTTTACCAATGGAATACGAATACTTGCACTATAATGACCAATGGTTTATAAAAATTTGCACTCGGTGCGCATTTTTTCACCAATGGATTTCGCTAATAGATCTCAGGCTAGCGTTATATGTTGGTTCTGGGAAGAATATGGAAGCAGTGTTACCACCTGCCACATAATGAGACCAGTGGCGTAGCATTCGTAAATGCGAACAGTGGCAGTGGCAGAAGTGCCTAAAACTTTTAACGCTGTTACTCGTTTTTTACCACTCGCACGTTAGTGCGCCGGCTAAACGATTAAACCGATTTTTTATTTTTTTTTGGCTTTTCTCGGGATCAATGCCCATTTAGCCACGATAATGAAAGGAAACCTAATGTCATAAATTAACGGGACTTAAAGGCAGGGGCACACACTTCTCGCCAACAGAGGTGGGTACCTATTTCGAATGAATTTATTTGAAATACGTATTTAAAATAGAAAATGCCATTTTATATTTTGTATTTTAAATACTGTAGATAAAATCATTTTCTATTTTCTATTTTAAATAAATCAGTATAACTATTTTCTATTTAAAATAACGTAGTATAGATTCGATTCAAAGTTTTTCTGGTTTACCTGCAAATGTGATCTGTGGAAAGAAACTAAAAATGGTGATATGTGGTAAAGAAGTGTATCAAAACGCTTCCTTGCACAAAACGTGCTACAATGACTCATCCCCTTTTTAAATTACGTTGGGCACCGAGTGAATATAAAACTCAATTCAAAGACTTGCTACTAAATGAATTAAGAGTAATAACTGCAGCTGAGAATGAAGACAACGGCAAAAATAAAGAAATGAACGTGCTTGATGACAAATATTGTTTGTTCGACGATTCTTCTACAGACAGCCCTGGCTCTTCAGATTTAAATAATGGGTTACAGCTTGAAGCCCTTCAATATCTTCAGAGTCCACTTACAAATTTGTCAATGTTGGATCAATTTCCTAACATCAAAAAGTTATTTATAAAATACAACACATACTTCCGTCATCGGCTCCTGTTGAAAGGCTGTTTTCATACGCAGGGATAATCATGCGACCCAAACGTCGATGCATGAATGATGATACATTTGAAAAACTTTTAATAATTAAAGCTAATGTAAATTTTATTGCAAATAAATAAATTGTAAAACCATTTTGTATTCGAAATGTTATTTCAAATACCTATTTTCTATTTTGTATTTTAAGTAAATGTACAAAAACCATTTTGCATTTTACATTTTAAATACTTATTTAAATGCATTTTACCCACCTCTGCTCGCCAAGAGGTCTGTCATGGCCTTTCATGTAGACATCACAGGTTGCGACCTTGGATAGATAGGAAGAACGGTTAAACAAAGGTTAGACACTTAGGAGTCCATTAGGAGGGTAATTCTTTGATCTTTAAATATTTAGCCCAATGTTGATTAGATATTCTATGACTATGTCATATGTGGATTTAGAGTTAGCACACATGAGCGTAGCGATGCTTAAACCGATTTAAACCGATTGTTATCTGTGCTAGTCACAGCAAATTTTTTTGCTCTTGTTTCGCGGTTATTGCGAGATTATAGATAATAAAACACGTTGAACATACGAATGAAATTCGTGCGTTGCGCTATTTATTAATCATACACGGGTATAAACGAAACTTCCTCTTCTCTTTTTTCGGGAATGCCTTTAAAACTCCAGCTAAAGATTGTGATAAAATAATAATTTTCATTGCTTCCTGTTTGATTTTTCACGTAAAAGCTGTTTCCGTACCAATTTTCTCTTTGAAAAACGCGGAGTGCTAATGACTACGCCTATGGAGTTTATTGAATAATACCGTCCTAAAGACGTTTTTTATCAAAATTTCAATGCATGGGATTGGTTCTGTTGCACGACATTATGTATAGTCGTTCATTCAGCTATGAATTTTAACATACCTATTAAAAGAAGAATATTCAAAGAAAAAGATTTATTAAGAAAAATAGGAAAATACGTGGCAAAAGCATAGGCACATTTTCAATATTTACGTCTGAAATTAAATCCCCGGTTCCTCCTTCTTACCCCGGCATCAACAACCTGCACAATTCACCATGATTTTTAGTTGTTTTTTGTGTATTTCCTCTCAATTTAAGCGCAAAAACTCATAAAAAAACGATGTTACTTAAATGACATGTGAGCCACATATAAAATGGCCGACTTGTTTAAAAAGGTAACAGTATTCATACACGGGCTGTACACAATCTAGGTTCACAGCTTCATAGAACAACAAACAAATTGATTCGCCATCTCGTATTAGTTCTCAGCAGCTTTTGTCAATCTGTAAGGTTACGTCCCCATTATACTGAATTTCTCCGGATCTCTAACAATAACATTGGATTGGTCTAGCTGAAACCGAAAACGTGAATGAGATCGGCTGGTGAAATCCAATTTTGTTCTTTAGGGGTCTAGATAAATACCGTAGTATGGCGGGCGGTACGGACGTACCGGAATTGCTCAGTAGTAAAAACTGTAAAAGATGCAGTAAAGTGCCCCAAACATATGTGAAGTGTGATGTGTGTAATGCGATTTATCATCCAGGATGTGCTAAACACATTAAACATGTGAAAATAGTTGACGACAAACGAATAATCTGTTGTGAAAGTGACAGTGCGGCGCAATCTGACGATAACCTGTACGTTGAAAATAAAATAATCTCTGTTAAACTGTACGAAATTGAAATTAAATTTCTAAAGGAATTAATTACGGAAAAGGATAAAGTAATAAGTAACCAAACAATAGCAATTAATGCACTCCAAAGTCAAGTTATACTTCTAAATAAGCTTCAAACCTCTAATGGATCCGTCAATGATAAGAATTCCTCCCGTTCGGAGGTAGCGAAACCTAAGCCAAAAGCATCTGCTAATAACCATGCATCAACTACTAAATTAGCTGACAAAGGATCTACTTCTGCGCTTAATGGAGACCCTCCAGTCTCTTCTAAGTGCGATGTAAAAGTTCTCGCTGAACCTGCATCGTATGCTAAAGTTCTGCATGAGGCACCTACCAATACCACTCAAAAGGAATGGAAAACTGTTACGCACAAAAAATCTAAACGGGCTGCTATTATTGGCAGCAACAATGTTGATCCCAGCTACTGTACAATCAAGGCAATAGTTCCTCGTGCGTATCTTCATGTGTATAAGCTTGATCCAGGAACGACTGTTGACATGCTGCAACGTTATCTTCAGCCAACGTTTCCCGACGTGTGTTGCGAAAAACTGCAGTCAAAATATGCCAAAGACTACTCGTCCTTCAAAGTGACCGTACAATTGTCGGATTTAGAGAAGATCATGGACCCAGGAGTTTGGCCGCAGGGTACACGAGTAAATCGTTTTTTCTTCCGGAGATCCCAAACAACAATGAACACCTGACCTCACCATCTTTATCTCATAAAAAATTATCCATATTTCATATAAATATTCAGTCAATTATTAACAAATTGAACCAATTGGAAGCATTTGTTGCCGACAAGGAATTGGATTGTATATGTGTAAGTGAACATTGGATTACTGATACTGACCAAATTACCGCTCTTAAATTTGGTCAATGGTCAGTAGGATCTTTCTACTGTAGACCTTCGCGTAAACATGGTGGAGTGTTAATTTTTACAAAGGAAAGTGCGTGTGTGAAACCACTTAAATTCATTAATGACCTCTCTGAAGAAACGCATGCGGAAATTTGTTGTGTGCAAGTTAATTCTAATACTGTAGTTATATGTGTATATAGATCGCCCAATGGGGATTTTAAGAAATTTTATGGCATTTTAGAGTTAGTACTCGAAAAGATTGTTAATTTTAATGTTGTTTTAGCGGGTGACTTTAATGTGCACTTTTCTGTCGATAAGAGAGCAACCATTATCGGTGATTTATTAGAAAGTAATGGTTTTATACGAACAATCTTCTCGGCTACTCGCGGAGTAAATTGCATAGACAATATTTTTTCAAATTTTAGTGTTTTTGATTTCAGTAGTACTACAATAAACACCGGCCTTGCTGACCATCTAGGGCAGCTGCTTGTACTGAATCATTTTGAAAAAGATCTTAGGAACTATTACGCAACTAAACTGCATCGACCAATCACCCAAGTTGGTATGTACATGTTGTTCGATAAACTTTACAATTGTGATTGGAAAGACATTATTAGTGATACAGGTGATTGTAACCAATGTTTTTCTGATTTCGTTAAGTTTTTTCATGAATGTTATTTGACTTGCTTTCCGCTTGTAAGAGACAAACGAAACAAATATTCGGGTAGATATAGATTCAACTGGTTTAATGACAATCTTAGAAGATTAAGAGACAATGTTCAGTTAATTAGTGGTCTCTATGCGAAATATCGCACGCAGAGTTTACTTGAAATTAAGAAGTCTTGGACTGCAACTTATCGAAATCAAATAAAATTGGCTAAAATAGCAGCTAACGATCAGCACATTGCTGTATCTGGAAATTCCACAAAAGCAATGTGGTTCATTATAAATTCTGAAAGAATTTCTAATACGAACCCACAATGCAATTTAACTGCCGATGATTTTAATTATTTCTTTTCAAGCGTCACAGACCAAATTCTATCTAGTCTTCCTAGTAGCAAAAAAGACCCCATAGATCATTGTAAGATTACTAATGTTCCATTAGGTATAAAATTTGAGTTTAATTGTGTTTCGCAAACGGAAGTACGTGATACCATCTCCAGCCTGCGGAACAGCAACACGAAAGATTTTTTTGGTCTCAATACCTACTCAAGTGATTAAGCGTAACATTGATGTGCTTGTAAGACCACTAACCAGATTAGTGAATCTTGCTATATCGACCGGAATTTTTCCGGACTGTTTTAAAATAGCAGTAGTCTTGCCCCTGTTTAAAAAAGGTGACGACACCAACCATTTGAACAACTACCGACCAATTTCGATTCTTCCTGTGTTCAGCAAAGTATTAGAGAGAGTCCTATACAAGCAAATGAACCACTTTTTCGAAAATAGTGCTCTATTTTACCGCAAACAGTTTGGATTTAGGAAAGGACGTGGAACTTCTGATGCAATTATTACCTTCGTTAATAATGCCTACGAATGTTTTGAAAGAGGTCAGCATTTGGTAGCGGCATTTATCAATTTATCTAAGGCATTCGATTGTGTCGACCACAATCTATTAGTTCGTAAATTACAATACGTGTACCACTTTAATGATTCAAGCTTAGCACTAATTAAATCATATTTAATCAATAGGTTCCAGTGTGTGCGCGTGAATCAGACTATTTCTCCGACATTACCTGTAACACGGGGAGTTCCACAGGGGTCTATACTCGGCCCCCTGTTATTTTTAATATATATAAACGATATGCCCACGGTGTTGCCTAAACACATGGATTGCATTCTTTATGCTGATGACGCAACCTTGCTATCATGTAACGATGACTTCAGTATTGCTCTGTCATATACTCGAAGTGCCATCGAAATCGTTACAAATTGGTGTATAGACAATAAGCTACTACTGAATGAATCAAAAACAGTTATAATGCCCCTATCATTAAGAACGACCGACCCCTATCTTGCAACAAGGGAAATGTCCCTCTTGGGTTGTGTAATAGATCCACAGCTTAATTTTCATGTGCAGTGTACTAACATTATTAAAAAAATGAATAAATCACTTTTTTTATTAAGGAAATTGCAAAACAATGTATCCTTAAAGGTAATGAAAACTGCTTATTACGCACTTATACAAAGTACGTTATCATATGCAATTTTGGCATGGGGACACAGTTCCCACTGGTCCAGTGTATTCCGTTTGCAACGGAAAGCCGTACGAGTGCTCTCTGGTTTAAACTATAGAGACGACTGCCGTGTCTCATTTATCACTTTAAAAATTATGACATTCCCTTGCTTATATATTTTGCAAGTAGTATGTCTAGTCAAAAGTAATATGGTCTCAACTGTCCTTCAATCAGATGTACACTCGTATAACACCAGGCAAAAAGACAACATAAGGCTACCTTTTTGTAGACTAACAAAAACTCGAAATGGTTTGAC